GAGGAGGAGAGGCGGGGGACGGCTCAGCACCGCGCCCGGGGCAGACACGGAGCGCGTCCCGCTCCTCCCACCACGTTTGTTGGGTTAAAAAGGGGAATAAATACAGCGCGGGGATGGGGCAGAGAGGACGGGAACGGACCCTCACCGGCACCGGGAGTGGCGAGAGGGCGGGCAGGACCCCGGCAGGGCTGGGGAAGGCAGCGGGAGCGCACACGGGCGGGCAGCCCGGGCTGCTGCTGTCCCCGGCGGGGCCTCAGCCCACCAACCGTAAGGCCGAGATTAAGGGTTTTTATTAAATTAATGCATTTGAAGAGCCCAAGAGGGATTCTGGAGGCTCAGGGGCCCACGATGCCAGTCCCAGAGATACAGTTATCTCAGAGGGTGATGCCAGCGCTGCCCGAGGAGCAAACACGGGCTGTGGGGGGGGCTGGAAGCCCCCGACCCGCTGGACGTGTCTCTGCCCGTTCCTGAGGGTGGAACAGCAGCAAAAGCAGAAAGGGCAGAGCACGGGGGGGATCCTCTTGTGGCAGCGTCAGGGGAGATGAACCGAAGCCATCCCAGCCAAGATAGCCCATGGCAAACGTTAGCCATCGGGCAAGAGGCTGCCCCAGCCCCCTGTCATAGAATGGTTTGGGTTGGAAGGGACCTCAAAGACCATCCAGTTCCAACCCCCTGCCCTGGGCAGGGACACCTCCCACCACACCAGGTTGCTCCAAGCCCCATCCAGCCTGGCCTTGAACCCCTCCAGGGATGGGGCAGCCACAGCTTCTCTGGGCAACCTGGGCCAGGCTCTCACCACCCTCAGAGTAAAAAATTTCTTTCTGATATCTAATCTGAATCTTTTTTCTTCCAATTTAAAACCATTTCCCCCTGTCCTATCATTACACCTCCTGGCAAAGAGTCCCTCCCCAGCTCTTCTATAGGCCCCCTTCAGGTATTGAAAGGCCGCTAGAAGGTCTCCCCGGAGCCTTCTCTTCTCCAGGCTGAACAATCCCAGCTCCCTCAGCCTGTCTTCATAGGAGAGGTGCTCCATCCCTCTGAGCATCTTCGTGGGCCTCTGCTGGACCTGTTCCAGCTGGTCCACGTCCTTTCTGTGTTTCTGTCCTGCCCCAGCCCCCTGTCCTGCCTGGCTGCTGCCCCAGGAGCCACCCCCAGCGGGTGTGAAACGCTGAGCTCTGCCAGCAGGAGCCAGGACACGGGGAATGGAGCTCAATTCCACCGGGGGAAATGTTTATTTACGGTAAAGGAAAAGGAATTGTGCTGAAAGTAGCCATGCTGAGATGGGGCACCGGGACGTGAGCCGCACTGAGCTGGGACTGGAGAACAAAGCAAACCATTGGGAAATGTCCCGTGTGCCAGCCCAGTGGGTTAAAGCCTTATTCTGCCTTCCTGGGCTTCTCTGGGGATACGCCTGGCTCCTACTCCCAAAGCTGGGCTGGTACTCCTAAAGATAAAGGGAGCCTTCTTAATGACTCTGGGGGGAGAGGGAGGAACCTCCAAACTGGGGGGACTTTGCACACACGGCATGTGAAGTGTTCACTTCCAACCCCAACTTCTCCCGAGACAGAGGAGAGCTGCAGAGACAATGTCCTGCTTTTCGTTTGAGAGAGAAATGCAAGTGGACGGTGAGCAGGAGGGTTAGGAGAAGCAACAAGCTACACAACAAGAAAAAAAGAGATGCTTCAAAAGTAAAAAGCGTATCAAAGCTCAAATGTAATGTGTTTTTTCTTCTTGTCCCTTTCACAGGTCAAGCAGGAGAGGTAAGAAATCAGTCTTCAATTGCCAAGAATAAGAACTAGTGTTAAAAATACCCAACTCTGCTCCCTGGGCACTGTTACACAGTCTCTGCAGACATTTGCACCCTCCAGAGCCCCTCTTTTCCTCCTCACAGCTCCATCTCCGTGAGTCAGCTGAACTGGCCCAGGATTGCCTTCCTCTGGCTTGTGGGTGCACTGATGCTGGGAATTCTGAGAAATATCACTACTGAAAAAATAACATTTAGTGCCTATTTATTCAAAGCAATTTGTGACCACTCTGTCCTGGGCTGGAGGAGCTGTCACCTTCCAAATTCTGCACCAAGTTGTCTGTGCCGATGGGAAGCCCCCTGCACAGCCTGTGCATCAGGGTAAGGCATGGGATTTCCAAGGGACTAAGGAATCAGGCTCACGGGAACTACTGAACTAGGAGAAAAACATCATAAGAAGAGAGAGAGCACAGTCCGTCCTCGCGCCTCACTTGGCCAGGAGCAGCTCCAGCTCATCAAGGATCACTGAACATTCCTTAATTTCTGCTTGGAAGGAGGAATGCTTCTCCAGGGACTGCTGCCTCCCTTCTTCCGCCTGTTTCCACTTGGCCATGGCTGCCTGCAGAGAGAAGGCAGTGGACACGGCCTTTTACCAGCACCAAAGCCCCAAATAGCAAAGCTGAGCTCCAGCTAAAACATCTGAACTCTTCAGGAGGGTCTTGCCTGCCAAACCATGTCTTGCCTGACCGGGATGCCTTCTACCTCGGCTCCTTGAAGCAAATGGCAATTTATCTGTGACTAAAGCTTAGGAAATCTTAAACAATAGCAATTAATTAGCTCTTAAGCTTCTTACCAAGAATTGTAGAACTGTAATTTAATGACTCTTTTGGTCAGTTCACAGTATTATTGAAGCTTTTGTGCTTGCATGTTCCCAGAGAGATACCCGAGGTCACTGCTCTGCAACACTGTCCAATTTAGATGAAATCTCCTGAATTCCAGTGTGACAGCCAGACTGGTGGGTCAGTGCTCTGCCAGTGGGGCTCACAACCCCCTGCAACATGGTCCCGAAAACTCTCTCTCTCAAGGAGCTGGTGGAAGCAGAGGCAGCTCCATTTCCAGTACTGACCTCAACATTTACTTTGGAACCGACTCAGCCAAAATGGAAAGCTGTCAGTCATTAACATCACTTTCACCTTCTACCTTGTTTCAAGGTCCATTGTGTACAATACAACTTGAAACGACTGGGGTGAGAATTAACATTGTCCCACCATAAACTGCTTTAAGCCCTCTAATTAGGAGTGAGTTTCCTTAATGCATGTATAACAAAAGACATGCAATAACCACAGGCTTTTGCTGCCTGGTATCACTTGGAGACTGAGGAGCACCAGGAGGAGCTAAATAACCTCAGTCTCACTCAGCAAAGTGCTCCTTACCTGCTTGAGCCTGAAACGAAGTCACAGTCTTACCTCGAGCTCATCCTTCTCTTTTGTGGCTGTTTGATTAAATTGCCTCAATTCTTCTATGAGCTTCTCTGTTAACAGCTGAAGAGCCAAAAGGAAGACAGTGTAATATAATGCCAGTAGATGCCAGTCTCAGCAGCTGTTCCCACATCTGGAAAGGGCAGTAGCACACAGAATTCTCCGAGCCCACTTAACTCCCTTTGCTGTGTCAACATTTCCTTACCGTTGTCTGCTTCTGGCATTCTTGTGTCTTCTCTTCCTCCTCCAAGATGTTGTTGCCTGTAACTGATTCGTGAGATGCATCAGTGAACCTCTAATACACAGACAACTTTGCTTGTAAGAACAACTCTGCAAAGTAACTTTGTACAGCAAGAAAGATTAAATTATTTTCAAAGTTTATCCAGGACAGGGCCTACTACAGGAAGTAGCTTTTTCTCTTAAACTAGGAAAAAAAAATAATCCAAATAATCCCCTGGAGTTACAGCAGTATTTCCTTAACAAGGAAGCAGAGTCCAAATGTCTTATGAACAGTCATAACAGGGGAGGAAAAAAAATGGTTCTGCAGAACGAGTACCCGAATGGTGTAAGTGCAGAGTCCTTACCAGGATCAATGTTCCTGCTTTCTAAAATCACCATGCAAGTCTCCTGAAATTTCTTGAGCTTCTCAACTTCTTGTATCAGGCCTTCATTCTCCTCCCTCAACTCCTTTATGGTACCCTGTCAGTAACACAGGTTGTAAGTGAATCAAGTTTTGAAGTAGTCAGTAATACCAAGAGTGATGCTAACGGTTTAACAAGTGCTCTACCAGCCCCAGGAATCGGATCTTGCCCTTCTGTCTCTGTCACTGCAGCAAATCACCTCCTGCAGAGCCTCACTCCTGCTTCTTGACAGGATTAATACATTTATCACATCCACATGCCATAGCAATTACTAGGAAAATTTGATCCTAGAGATAAAAAAAATTTGATCCTCTGAGCCAGCAATGTGCCCTTGTGGCCAAGAGGCCAATGGGATCCTGGGCTGTGTAGGGAAGAGCGTGGTCAGGAGGTGGAGGGAGGTCATTCTCCCCCTCTGCTCTGCACTGGGGAGGCCACAACTGGAATCCTGCGTCCAGTTCTGGGCTCCCCAGTTCAAGAGAGACAGGGAACTGCTGGGGAGAGTCCAGCGTAGGGCAACAGAGATGATTAAGTGATTGGATCACCTCCCTTACGGGCACAAACTTGAGTATAGGAAGTTCCACCTAAGCGTGAGGAGGAACTTTATTGTGAGAGTGGTAGAGCCCTGGAAGAGGCTGCCCAAAGATTCAAGATAAACTTCATTCAAGAAAGTCAAATCTGTCTGAAACAGAATCCACTGAACAGTCCCAGCTCTCTCAGCCTTTCCTCCAGTCCCTTGATCATCTTAGTGGCCCTTTGCTGGATTCTCTCTGGTTTGTCTGTGTCTCTCTTGTACTGGGAGCAGAACACAGAATACAAAGACACTAAAAGATAAGGCAACAATATGACACAATAGTGCAGGAAGAAACATAAGCTTATATAAACTGAGCTCTGCGTTAAATACTCAGAAAAGAAATAAGTCATTGTCCTTGAAACTTAGTGCTCAGCAGTGAACAAATCCAAGTAGAATGTTCTTCATTACTAAAATGAGACCACACAGGTTCCCTGAACTCAGATCTTCAATCCTGTAGGAACTTTCACACCACACTACACGATGGGTCAATAAATCTGAGAGACTGGGCAAAAGGAATGAGGAAATTGAATAGCTTATCTACCGTATGTTAGGAGCTAAGGAAGAAAAAGAATTCATAGACTTCAAACCACCAGTGGCAAGTGTTTATTTACAGTTGTAGCTAGGAAGCATCTGGCAATGTTGAGGCTGTTTTAATAAAATTTCATGCGAGTGTATAGATGTGAACTTGAAATATTCTCCCACAATGAGTTTAAAATGGAATTAGAGCTCTTAATTAACAGTGATCTGGATGCATTATCCATCCAAATACATCTGCAGTTCTGCTCATTTCCAGGCTTTAGCAGATAACCCAGGTGACAGAGGAGAAAACCCAGCCCACTCAAATGCTACTGACTTCTGACGGAGACAGGAAAATGAGTACAACAGAGTTTTTATCTGACCCTCTAGGGATCAAAATATAAGAATTATTCAGTGATTTGTTTATTTAACCCCCTCTTTCCTTACCTGTGCTCCCGTTAGTCTGGAGTGTAGTTGTTGTTTGGCTGTTTCTAAGAGCTGATTCTTGGTCTTCAGCTCTGCTTCTAGTTTGTATCTGTTGAGAGGTCTGTAGAGTCAAACATCAAAGATTTAGGGACAAAAATATCAATACTACACACCTTCTTTTACACTTCCACAAACATGCCCTTTTTTGAAGTGTTTGCTCTTGTTTCTGACCAAGAGCTTTAATCAGCAAACCTGACAAGAAAGCTGTAGATGGGTGAGAGCTCATTGTACCCCTCCCAGAGGGAACCTTACTGCACAAGGGCAACTAATAGAAATTGAAGGAAACATACCCTCTTGTAGCTGTCTTCTTTGAAAGTGGTTCCACTTTCTTGGCAGATTTAGGCAACCTTAAAAAACAGATAAAATACAATTACCAGAAGATCACTGCATTCTTGCAGACTGCTCTGAGGGTGGCAGAGCCCTGGAACAGGTGGTGGAATCTCCTTCTCTGGAGATATTCCAAACCCTCCTGGACATGTTCCTGTCCAGCCTGCTCTGAGTGGCCCTGCTTTGGCAGGGGGTTGGACTAGAAGATCTCCAAAGGTCCCATCTAACCCCAACCATTCTGTGATTACCGAGTCTGTTAGTTTGACAAAACCTGCAAAATCCTAAGCCATCTTTAGGACATTTGTCAAGTAACAAACCCATGAATATTTTACTTTCGTTTACCCTTGGTTTGTAGCTTTGAAGACACCATCTGCTGGAATGTTTGAGCTAAAGTTAAAATTGGGATCTTTGTTGAACTCTAGATCTGCCGTTTTGCCGACGCATTGTTTCTTTGAAGGAAAAGCCATTTGTATTTCTGCAAGAAAAAGACAACAATGAAAACACTACAACCTACAAGAGATCACCATAATACTGAACTACTTGAACTCTTCTGCCTTCAATTTGAGGTAAACCATAATTATATCTGGCTAGAACGGAGACTTTAAGGTAGCGACAACTAAGGGCAGTCTTCAAACTTTACCCAGGATTAAGGGTCCAGAACAAGCCCCAAATAGCTCAGGTGGCAGGTAGTGTCAAAACACAGTTAGCAGGCTAGCACTAACGAGAGAAAGTTTGAAAGTGGTAACACAGGTGTGATAAAAAAGGAGGTCCCACCATCAAGCAGCCACCATGGCAAGAGCTGCACACAGAGCTGCTCGGGACTGGAAGCAGAACAAGCACAGCCCCCTTGAAATTTTCAGTTAAGAGAGCTTCAGATAGCAATTCACACTTCTCAAATAACACTGTAGAGAACTAGCCTTCTATGTAAAATATATCTGGCTTTAAACAGCAGCCGTTTGAGTATATTAAGCTTTGTGCACACAGGGGGTTTAGGAAGCTTCCCCCCCCGTCAAGTTAAGTATTTTTCAAATGACATGCCCATAAGGACATTTATATTACAGTTACATGGGAGTTCCCACTGATACAAATGCTGCTGCATTTTTGTTAAGCCTGGGTGCTTCGCATCTCTACACTGCTGCAAGTAGCACCAAAAGACTTTTGTAAGTAGGAGCCTGTGAAGAAAAACACCTTTACCCTCAGCGGGGCCTGCCTTCAGTGAGGGGAGATACAGGCCCTCGGGCCTGCACCACAGAGTGCCTCAGCAGGACACGGCCCGCCCTGCTCGGGGGTCCACACTTAGCAAAAAAGACGTTAACCGGAGTCTTAAACCGAGACAAAACTCGTAATTAGACCTCATAACTGCCGCTAACAGGCCAAGCCGGCACTGGAGCTCCGCGCCGGCCTCACCCGGCCCCCAGCCCTCTGCGCCCCGCTGCGGGGCAGAGCCTCCCTCCCCTCCCGGGGCGGGTACGCACCTGCGGGCGACCCGAGGCGGTGGGACTGCCCGTAAACGGGGATACGGGAAGTTCCCCCTCCCTCCATACTCCGCCGCCGTTTGAATCGAACCCGCCGCCAAACGGTCCGGCGGCCCCGCGCGTGCGCAGAACCCGGCGGCGCGCAGGCGCGGTGGGCGCCCGGCGGCGGCGCGCGCCCTTTCCCGCCCCTTCCCTCAGGGATGGCGACCGGGCGGACGGATGTTGCTGTTCCTTGTAGCCGCCCTCAGGGCAGCCGGCCGTCGGCGGGGAGGATCCTTCCTTCCTAAGTGGTTCCACTTTCTTGGCAGATTTAGGCAACCTTAAAAAACAGATAAAATACAATTACCAGAAGATCACTGCATTCTTGCAGACTGCTCTGAGGGTGGCAGAGCCCTGGAACAGGTGGTGGAATCTCCTTCTCTGGAGATATTCCAAACCCTCCTGGACATGTTCCTGTCCAGCCTGCTCTGAGTGGCCCTGCTTTGGCAGGGGGTTGGACTAGAAGATCTCCAAAGGTCCCATCTAACCCCAACCATTCTGTGATTACCGAGTCTGTTAGTTTGACAAAACCTGCAAAATCCTAAGCCATCTTTAGGACATTTGTCAAGTAACAAACCCATGAATATTTTACTTTCGTTTACCCTTGGTTTGTAGCTTTGAAGACACCATCTGCTGGAATGTTTGAGCTAAAGTTAAAATTGGGATCTTTGTTGAACTCTAGATCTGCTGTTTTGCCGACGCATTGTTTCTTTGAAGGAAAAGCCATTTGTATTTCTGCAAGAAAAAGACAACAATGAAAACACTACAACCTACAAGAGATCACCATAATACTGAACTACTTGAACTCTTCTGCCTTCAATTTGAGGTAAACCATAATTATATCTGGCTAGAACGGAGACTTTAAGGTAGCGACAACTAAGGGCAGTCTTCAAACTTTACCCAGGATTAAGGGTCCAGAACAAGCCCCAAATAGCTCAGGTGGCAGGTAGTGTCAAAACACAGTTAGCAGGCTAGCACTAACGAGAGAAAGTTTGAAAGTGGTAACACAGGTGTGATAAAAAAGGAGGTCCCACCATCAAGCAGCCACCATGGCAAGAGCTGCACACAGAGCTGCTCGGGACTGGAAGCAGAACAAGCACAGCCCCCTTGAAATTTTCAGTTAAGAGAGCTTCAGATAGCAATTCACACTTCTCAAATAACACTGTAGAGAACTAGCCTTCTATGTAAAATATATCTGGCTTTAAACAGCAGCCGTTTGAGTATATTAAGCTTTGTGCACACAGGGGGTTTAGGAAGCTTCCCCCCCCGTCAAGTTAAGTATTTTTCAAATGACATGCCCATAAGGACATTTATATTACAGTTACATGGGAGTTCCCACTGATACAAATGCTGCTGCATTTTTGTTAAGCCTGGGTGCTTCGCATCTCTACACTGCTGCAAGTAGCACCAAAAGACTTTTGTAAGTAGGAGCCTGTGAAGAAAAACACCTTTACCCTCAGCGGGGCCTGCCTTCAGTGAGGGGAGATACAGGCCCTCGGGCCTGCACCACAGAGTGCCTCAGCAGGACACGGCCCGCCCTGCTCGGGGGTCCACACTTAGCAAAAAAGACGTTAACCGGAGTCTTAAACCGAGACAAAACTCGTAATTAGACCTCATAACTGCCGCTAACAGGCCAAGCCGGCACTGGAGCTCCGCGCCGGCCTCACCCGGCCCCCAGCCCTCTGCGCCCCGCTGCGGGGCAGAGCCTCCCTCCCCTCCCGGGGCGGGTACGCACCTGCGGGCGACCCGAGGCGGTGGGACTGCCCGTAAACGGGGATACGGGAAGTTCCCCCTCCCTCCATACTCCGCCGCCGTTTGAATCGAACCCGCCGCCAAACGGTCCGGCGGCCCCGCGCGTGCGCAGAACCCGGCGGCGCGCAGGCGCGGTGGGCGCCCGGCGGCGGCGCGCGCCCTTTCCCGCCCCTTCCCTCAGGGATGGCGACCGGGCGGACGGATGTTGCTGTTCCTTGTAGCCGCCCTCAGGGCAGCCGGCCGTCGGCGGGGAGGATCCTTCCTTCCTCCCGCTTCTTCGCCCTGCGGCTTGGGCACTCGAGGCCCGGAGCCCTCAAGGCCTTTGGGAGGCCTTTGGAGGCGGGATGCCCGGCGGGCCGCAGGGCTCTCCCTGCCACGCCCTCAGGGCGCCGGTGGCATCCGAGGCGGTTAAAATCGCCTTTCCATTCTGCGAGGGGAAAGGAGACATCCGTATACGGTGTTTCCCCGCTTTATCGGATGTTTTTTCAGTGTTTCCCCAACCCAGTTTTCAAAATGGGTGAGAAGTCTCAGCAGAGAGTCACAGAGGCTCCCGTGTGGGGAGGGTTCCCCTCGGTGCTGGCTCCCAGCCCCAGGGCGGCCACAGCACCCACCTGCAGGCCCAGCATGAGAAGGGCACCACAGAAGCGCAAAACTGAAACACTTTGTATATTTCAGGCACTGTTTACTGGCTTTAAAGGATATCAATCAGGTAGTTGTGGCTGGTACCGCAGGGAGCTGGGGAAACTGCTTGTGAGGGTCAGAGGGAGCCAGCCCTCTCAAGATGTGTGTTTTCCTTTCGCTGGTTATAGGTGTTTAAAAAGATGAAGAAAATCACCCACAGTGTTCTTGGTGAAAATGAAGCATCACTCAGATTTACGAAAGTTTGTCATAAGCATTTATTTTACGTCAACTCATATAGAGAACGTTTTCTCTTTTTCAACAGATAAAGGCAAGGAAGTGTTTGTTTTCCTGCTTGTCTTTAGTAGAGAAAAAAAAAATTAAAATGTAAAATTCAAGATTCACCAGATGCACAAATTTTTAAAAATTACATGTTTGTGGGGAATGCCTTGAGTGGAAACAAGCTTTGAAGACGACACACAAAGCACCCGGGGATGCATCACTCTGGAGATGAGGATGCTTTTCTCAAAAGGGGAAAACTCGCACTGAAAATCTTTGGCAGGATTGGAATTTGTTCTGATAAAACCAACTGAAATTGTTTCTGAACACAGACTTGGCTGGCTTCTGCAGCCTCCTCCATGATCAGTAAAAGACTGCATCAACTCAGAAGTCTTAATAAGATTTTTTTTTATAATATTTGAAATATTTTGATGGGATCTATGAACCTGAACTTCACATAAAGCAGCTTCTGATTCAGCAGAAAATGAAAGACTTTCTTTTTTTATTAACAATACACTCTTCACTTGATATCTAGACATTCAATAGTTGTGGGTTTGGGATATTATTTTTTTTTTTACGAGCTCTCTTTCTCAGTTGTTAAATATCTGGGGGGATTCACCTCATTGTTTCCCTCCTACATGACCTCGACAAGAAAACAAAATCTAATCACCTTGTAGGAAATGAGAAAACAGGTTTACTCCATGAGTTTTGCGGTACAGCTGTGAATATGGCACCACACACTGGGAGGTCAAAGGGCTTGTACTCCATCAAGATTGATCTCATCCTCTCACAAGTGTCAGATTTGCTGGTTCTGTGAAAACACAGGAGAGGTGGGAGGGAAAAACGGATATTTACAGTTCCAAGGGGATTTCGACTTCCCCTTTCCCTAGCAGGACAGTTCTGTTTTCTGCAGGGTTTCAGCTGTTGTAACCAGAACTTTGTGCGCTGGATCGTTTGATCCAAACGTCGGGCATGTCTGGTTGGCTGTTCGGTAACACCACCGGACCCTCGCTCCCTAATCCAAACCGGTGTTTCCACGAAGAGCTGTTCTGCTGCGATGCTGCCGGAGGGACGTCAAAGACAGTCTCCCTCAGGTCCAGGCGCAGGGTATCTCTCTTCCCGTTCAAGTAACCTCTCTCCGTCTGACTGTAAGAATCAGAGAGCTCTAAGACATCGGGACAAGAACTGGCTGATTCAGCGAGCTTCAGGCCTTGCTCAAAATCACTGATCGACGTCTCGCTGGAGATGTTGAGCATGTCGAAGGAGCTGCCAAGGGAACAAAGGCATCTGTGAATTTTGTAGATGTCAGCAGCAGGGAGATGGCTGTTGTCTGAGGTATAATCCGCCTGCTGCTGGGCAGTGTCACTAGAGCACTGTGATTTATTGAGCTGCCCTTCTTCTTTCACGCCTGCCGGCTGGATATGGTCCAGCCCAGACCCATCCCAAGCTTTTGGGCCGTACTTTCGACATCGACAGTCTCGGCAGAGTCTCTCCCTGTGGCTTTCTGCTCCTGAGCTGCTGTGCTTGTAGGGAGAGGAGGTTTGCAAGGCAGGACACTGGCACAGGCCGACCTGCTGGTCTCCAAGGGTCTCCTGCAGGTTCTGTCTCTCTCTGTCGAGGGAGGGGTGCATTCCTACCCTGGGGCATCTGCTCTCTTCAGCTTGTGTGTCCTCAGAGAGCACTGAGGGCCGGTTGGACAGCTTGCTTGTGGAAGTGCTGTTGTCAAAACTGTCGCTGAGTTTTCTGGACAAGGGCTGGAGCTCGTACTGCTCGTTTGCAGTGTTGGACTCCTGGACCTTCCGCAACCGGTTTTGCTTCTCACTCCCCCCACAGGCGAAGCTTCCGTTCAGCCCAGAGTCATCAGAATAGTCTTTCATGGTGTGAGCACAAGGCCAAAGGATCTGCCCACAGTTCTTCTCTGGGCCGAAGAAGCAGCACAGCGACTGGAAGAAGAAGCTGGCAAACCCACAGCTGATACACTTGATCATCATGATGAAGATCCCCAACTTCCGATATGCCAGGACTGTCGCAGGCAGCATGATGACCCCTGCGGAGAAGAGAGCAGAAGCTGCCATGGCTGTGGCACAGCTCATCTGCTTGAGGGAAAAGGCCACTCGGCTCAGGCGGTCAGAGTGGGGGCACAGATGGTAGGAGATGCAGTAGTTGACGGTAAAGTCAACGGAGAGACCCACCGCAGCTGAAATGAAGAGAGATTCCACTGCATTGAGCTGCCACTCCAAGAGGACCAAAAGGCCAACAGTTACCAGGACAGTGCCCGCGATGGCAGTGACAGAGAAAATGCTAAGGAGAACATTCCAGGTAGCGAGCAGCAGCACCACGAAGGAAATGGCTATGGAGAGCCCCATGACCACCATCGTTTCAGTGCTGAGACTGTGCTGGAGATTGTATAACTCTAATTTACTGGTAAACCACCCGTTCTGAAGCCCCACGGGGGCAGTTTTCATTTCCTCTGTTACCCAGAGATTGATTTCCTCGTAGAATTGTTTGGCTTTGCTGTAGTTGAAGCTATAGTGATAAATAGTTTGAAACTGCAGCACTAAGGCAGCGAGATTTCCCTCCCCGTCAAACCTGAGGCCCAGATCGTATGTTTCTGCCCCTTCCCTGCCTTGTTCCAGGAGCATCATTTTGATGCAGTGTAGGAAGACTTCGCTTCCGTAAGGGAAGGAGAACTGGTTACAGCAAAGGTTGAAGCTGTGGTCTCGCTGGGAGCACTGGCGACTGTCCATCCACCTGAGGAACTCCTCCATGAAGCACACAGTAGATTTCTGCTCTGCGTCGGGGTAATAGAAAGTTTTGTTCTTCACTTTTTGGCAGAATTCGAGGAGCCACTTCTGGGCCTCAGGGTTTTGGATTGCAAAGGTGCTGTCTGCCACTAGGGTGCCATTGCTTTTTGGGTCGAAGTGGTCCCCGTTATCCACGGGCAGAATCCCCCAGACTATGGTGACGGGCATACGCTGCCCTTCTCCGTGCTCCAGCCTCTCAAACATGAACTGGTGGCAGTACTCCGAGTCGTACCTCTCAAAGGGGTGGCTCAGCCTGAACACCTGGACAGACGACGTCTCGAGGGTCGGGAGCTTGAGTTTTGGGTTGGAACAGGAAATGTAGGCGCCTCCTATCGCTAAGGCAGCAAACCAGCAGATCCAGATGTACCGGAACTTGATGACCCCACAAGGCAGGAGCTTTTCAAATAGCAGCTTGGAGGTTTCAGAGAGCGTGTTCTGGAGACCCCTGAGAATGTAGTGGAGGGAGAGAGCGACTCTCTTATGGCCAGTGTTGTTCCAGTAGTCTTCTGGCTTGTAAACGCAGGTGGTTGCTATGTAGCGCTCGTACAGCACGGCTGAAGAAGGGAGCCAAGTCATCATGAAGACCAGATTGACCAGCACAGAGGTGCCCATGTAAACAGCAAAGCAGCGGATGGCTATTATATTGCTGATGTAGCTGGCGTAGAAGGCAGCGCCCGTTGTGAAGCAAGATGCCAGCACGAGATAGGCAAAATGGTGCATGGTCTGACTCACCCACTGGGACAGCCCAGCAGAAGGGCTCTGGCTCTTGCTGAGGTTCCAGAGGTCGAAGAAGACAAAAGTGTGGTTGGCACAAATGCTGCTGAGAATGACGACCGCCGTCAGGTTTACGAAAGGGAAATAGGTGAATCTGAAGGCCACCTTGTACAAGAAGTAGGAGATCATTAAGGAACTGACAACAGCGAGCAGGACCATCAAGGTAATAAAGACTGAGCGTAAATAAAAAGAAATGCTTAGAAAAATAGCTAATATTGCCAGGACTGGATACTTAGTATCCAGTAAAAGATAGTGCTGGAATAGTTTCTGTTTAAGGCCCAGGTCCATTCCAGTGATAGACGTATAGTTATCAAACAGATCCCAGGATTCAAGATTGTCTAAGTAGATCCTCATCATAGATGCACCTTTCCTTGTAGGCAGAAAGAGCAGGCTGTATTTGAGAGATGGCACTTGGTACTCCATCGTTTGGGGACTAAGGAAGTCTCTGTCGACCAAGAAGTGGAGAAGCTGGTAAATGGCATTGAAGCGGGTGCATTTTTCGGGGACTTTGGCACACTGGGAGTGTTTCTGTCTCACAGACTCAGGGCCGATGCAGGAGGGAGTGAGGATGCCTTTGTGGTAGTCTGGAGCACAGGCGCGAAGGAGAGCCAGGGTGTGGGAGATGTCTCCCTGGGTTATCT